AAATGGAGCTCTTTCCGCCATTGTGGAGAAGCTACCACCACGGGGTCTAAACAAATGGGTTTAGCTAGCCTCGTACTCACAGTAGCACAATTTACTCACCTGGAATAAGGTAGTTACATGGATCCATTGTTCCACAACCGAAGGCAGACAATTCTGGCATGATTACCTTCACTGCCTCAAACATTCCGATTCTCCAGTCACCTGGAGCTTTTCTGATGTCATTTCACGGACAGCATTGAGCGCGTATAAGCGGCTTTACCGATGATCTTTCATGGAGTTCTCACTTGGCCATGGAGGTAATTACACTTACATTTGAAGGAATTACTAGTCCACTTTGCGGAGAATAGCATTTTTCATGTTATGGACATATTCAGACACAAGAAACAACTGCACTCACCGTCCCTATGACAAGTCCAGCATGGATAGCTGGACACGGGTTGCGAGCCGGACAATATAATAGAAAAAGCCGGCCTCTATTAACAATGTGTTTACTCACCCGCATCATTATCATTCGACTGCGACTCTTTCACATCATTGACTGGCTTCAACGACTGTTGCCGGTTCAGTACTAAGCCATTTGGCCAACCAAGGAAGAATTTTGACTGGCAACCGACTGCGAATAATAGAGTGCTAAATCGGTCTATACGATGCATAGCCGACTAGCACTTCAGTTCAACGGAAGCTACGACAGTGTTCCAGGACGTGGTGGGTTTTCGCCTGGCAAGCGTCCTCCCTATAAAAAGCCACAAATGTCCGCTTAACAACACTGCAACGTGGCGGATGTGACTCGCCACAAAATAAAGTCACAGCTATACATTTCACACTGACGCAGTCCTCAGCCTCCTACATCTAACTTGTGCAACTGATATTACTATGAAGAATGCTTTAGTGGAGTACCGATCATCCGGCTTCGTAATGGTCATTGATTGCACTAAACTTTGTTTGGGCCCCTGTGCTCATGGATCACTACATGGCAAATTTACCCCCCACTTGTATCTTGACGCAACAGTTTTGCGCGCCACAGCGCCATCATGGTCCTTGATCTGACTATTACCTGACAATATGCTCGCTCATATGGACTACATCTTTTCGTTTATTCCTTTCATTGTAATGAAATGTGTTTATATTCCAAAGAAACTAAGCTTGTATGCATATTTGATCATGCCTTTTAGAGGTGTGTCTCGTTTTACAGAGAATATACCTTTTATTTATTTATTTATTTATTTAGCCGTCAACTAACTGTGAACCCGCCGAGCGAACGACAAGACTGAGCTCCTTACTGTGGCTTCCCGTGTTGTTTAAAAAATCAAAAGAACTCTTTGGAAGCCAATCCTCCTGCTAACGAGCACACAACTAAAATAAATAACTAAAATAGATAAGTCTAAATATCGATTTGGGATTGATATTGGCCAGTGTATGTAGTCTTATAAGTAAGCTTTACGTGATTTCTCTTCTCAGTACTAAATATCGGCCAGATGTACTGACGTTCACCGAGACCTGGTAATCACCAGAGGTCCAGGACGCCGAGATTAGCGTATCAGGATATCATCACCAGCAGACCGCTCCAGAGGCTGACTGAGTGTGGTGTATTTCTCTACTTAAGGTTCCACCTCAGCGTACAAGTTATCGATAATGACGGAATTCATGATGGCTTTCAGCTGCCCACAGTCGGTGTGGCTTACCGAGAACCATTGAGCTCAGGCAGTCGTCTATTACAGTCGGTAAAACCAATGGTCGAGGAAGGAACGGTCTGCTAGTGGACGACATCACATAGTGTCGACTGGAACCTTCATCACTGTGATATTTAACAAGGTATCCGGAAAATGCTATCCAACCCAAAGACCTTAATAGATTATTCTCGCATTCCTGACGCTTACAAGCAGTAAAAATGCTGCGATACATTTAAAAATACAAGCTACACAGCCGCATTCAAACACAATAATATACGTGTGTACACCCAAACACACATTCACTGTCATAACAAACATGTATTTTTGTACCTTTTTGAGCACGCTATGTTAGCTTAACGTGACCATGCCTGTGAAGGTGAGATTCGCATTGTCTGGAGTAAAAGATTATTTATTTATTTATTTAAGCTTCCTTCGAGATGGGCTTTCTCGAAGCTATTAACGAATACAATCTTTTCCAGCACATCTCAAACCCAACACGGATGGTACCGGGTAAAACACCCAGGTACCGGATCTCCTCTTCGCACCAGCGAAGGCTGACGACCATGGCCTTAAGATTATTCAACCGTTCGGCCGAAGTGATTATTCTGCAACCTCCTCCTTTTGGGCATGCTTCCTTGCCATGCACGATCAGGGGACACACGGTCATAACTTCTGACGTGTGGTCCCCTCCAGATTACAAGTGACAAACACCACAGACTGGACCATTCCACAATCCAAGAACCTTGATGAGGCTTGGAACTTACTAAGCTTGAAGATGATGCCGGTCAGCACATACGTTGTTCCTAGCACCAAGGACAGGCTTTTCCCAAATTCCCCACGATCGACCGAGAGGTGAGTTCTCTGATAAATAGACGACGCAAACTATGGAAGCTATTCAAATCAACACAAGCAACCACAGATTACTCGAAGTACAAAGTTATCAGAACCTGTGCACTCTAAGAAAGCGCCAAAAACGAGCTCAATATGGACACTTCCTAGTTATCCAATCACAAACCTGCCAGAAGTAGCTGTTCTAATATCTGAAGCGAAAAGTCAAGGGTGGCAGGGGTCTGCCTGCTCTATCCTGCCACGAGGAGAACACAGTGCCCTACGATGTTGACGGGAAGGCTGAACTACTAGCCTCGCAGTACTCCTCGATCTACTTCGTGGAACCGTCATTACCTACTGACGATCTGACAACACAGTAGCCTACTCTCGAGTTAGTCGAAAGCAACCTCGAGATTGCCAAGCGACTGCTATTTGAACTGAACCTTAACTCCGCACCGGGCCCTGATGGACTTTACCCTCTACTCCTCAATATGGCAGCAGAATACATTGCCGATCCGATACATCAAATTCACCGGCGTTCTCTTGAAGAACGGCTCCTACCATCCGACCGAAAACTAGGGACTGTGATGTTTAAGTACAAACGAGGTAACCGGCACGGTCCTGCAAACTATCGAGCAATGTGCCTGATGTCTGTGAGCTGCGAAACCATGACATGGATCGTCCAGCGCATCCTCAACGCACACAGCGAAAGCATGTGCGCCATCTTCCGCGCTCACCATGGATTCCGCAGGACGCGCTCCTGCATCTCTAACCTGCGTGTTGCCAGAGAGGCATGGGTCAAATTATCTGTCGAAAGGAAGACAACTTGGTGTTATCTACATTGCCTGCGGCAAAAACTTTCACGGCCCCACACGAACGAATTCTGCTCAACCTCCAGGGCATTCGCGTCGTTGGAAACTTCCTTGCGTCGGTTGCAGACTTCTTGAGAGATCGCACTCTTCAAATGAAAGTGAACCAAACGCTGTCTGGCTCAGTGTCCATAACCAACGGAGTCCCAAAAGACTCTGTCCTTGGGCTGGAACCCTTTAAGCTCTACATTAATAACTTCCCTGCAGCCCTTATCGCCGACTGCTCAGTCCATACTGATAACCTCAAGCTATGGTCAAAAGTATCTAGTCTTGAGGACGCGGACGGACTCTAAACGGCGCTAGACCGGCTACACCATCGATCCGTCAATTGACAACTACCCGTTAACTAAGACAAATGTGCTGTTCTTTCGATTGGTAACCCGGAGTCGTTAGGTGTATACCACATTGGCAGGTATCTTCTCAAGGATTTTGTGCACGAGAAAGGTCTGGGTGTTATCATGTCGCATGACATTAGAGCTTCCTAATGCACCCTAAGCATGGTCGCGGCCGAAACCGGATGCTGGGTGTTCTACGCAGGTCGTTCTTCCGTATCACTCCGGTAGTTTTCAGAACCTGTTTACATCAATACCATCAGGATATTGGAGTAGGGGCTCCAAGCTACGTATCCTATTTTAAAATCTGTATGCTACGTGTTAGAAAAAGTTCAGAGGTGTGGCTCGAAATCCGGCATGGAGCTTCGAGATCTTGTTTACCATGTTTGACTCCAAAAACTGAATATATTCCAAATGGCTTAGCTTCGGCGCCATGATAGCTTATCTACACTAGGCAGATTCTTAGAGGAGAATTTGGGTGTGAGGTGCAAGAGCACTTTCGACTCAACGTGAACGCTTCGACACGAGGCCATAAGTGGAAGTTGTACAAGAGACGAATACTTCAAATCTGTCCAGAGGCTGCCCTATCAATTCTTGTAGTTAATGCTTAGAACAGCCTGCCGGTGATCATTGCTGAGGCATGGACGTACGAAAGTATCAAAAGGTCGCTGGACTGCCACCGATCAGTACGGCAGTGAACTGCTTCTCCCACAGCAACAACGATCCCCAGAGGAATGACACTTCTCTGTCAGTTGCGTCAAGCCTGCGGTGACTCGGAAACGACGGAGCTTACAAGTGTCTCCTTCTCTCTATACACCAATGAATAAAGGAAAGAATACTGCTCCTTCCTGAACTTGAACTTGACCCTTAAGAACCGAGTAGTTAATCACTGGAATAAACTTCCTTCTGATTTGGTGGAGTCTGACACCGTGGTAGCCTTCGAAAGGGGCTTAGACAATTGTTGGTCCATCGTTTTTCCAGAGATATTGTAGTTGTACTGGTATAAGCAGTGTAGTTTGATGCTGGCATATGAACACCACTACTGCGTCGAGACCCGAAACATCTGGTACCTACCGACGAGATCAGGACCTTGCCGTAAGATCCCGAGGCAGAACCACCGAAAAGCTACGCTTACTCGTTCTGCGCAAACCCGTGAAACCCGTGAAGTGCAGAGATTGCTTTTCTTCTCGCTTCATACCATTGCAGAAGCAATAAGAGACAATCCACCGTCGAAGTGCCGGGGGCCGCTTCACTTACCGGCACAAGAACTGGACGCTCGTTAGGCGGAAGCCTCTATCGTCCATCTGACCTGACCTGACCTTGAGGGTTGTACGGCAATATGGGTTCGATATTTTTTAGACCCAAACGTAAGACTTTGGTTACTGAGCAGGATAGAGCCGTCCTCCAGTTAAAGCATCAGCGGGATAGACTTGCTCAATATACTAAAAGGATTGAAAGGCAGTTAGAAAGGGAACTGCTGGTTGCCAAGCGTCTTATTAGCAGCGGGAAAAAGGAGTAAGTTTTCCTCATATAAATTGAGACTCCAGATTTGATCCATCCTTGTTTCCTTTATATACCTCGGTAACTCCTAACCCTCGTTTATTTATTGCAAAGTGTTCTTAACGTTGCCTTATAAGTCAGGTCAGGTCAGATGGACGATAGAGGCTTCTGCCTAACGAGCGTCCAGTTCTTGTGCCGGTAAGTGAAGCGACCCCCGGCACTTCGACGTTGGATTGTCTCTTCTTGCTTCTGCAATGGAATGAAGCAAGAACAAGAGCAATCTCTGCACTTTCATATGCCAGCATCAAAATACACTACATATTAAAGTACAACTACAATATTTCTGGAAAAAGGATGGACCAACAATTGTCTAAGCCTCTTTTGAAGGCTTCTACTGTCTCAGACTCCACTAAATCAGAAGGGAGTTTATTCCAGTAGTTAACTACCCGGTTCGTAAAAAACTTTGCCCTGATGTCCAAACGAGCTCTGTGATGTTTAAGCCTCAGGCGATGCCCGCGCAGATGGTCTGACGTAGCCAGTTCAAACAGATGGGTGGAACTAATACCACTAAGTCCCTTAATGATCTTAAACGTCTCTATCAAATCCCCTCTCAACCTACGCCGTTCCAGGGAAAATAATCCTAAGCTACTTAGACGATCTTCATAAGACTTCGCTCGTTGACCTTCAATCATCCTGGTCGCAAGTTTCTGAATCTTTTCTATACAAGTGATGTCACTACGGAGGTACGGTGACCAGGCTTGAACACAATACTCCAGATGTGGCCTGACCACTGCTTTATATAAGGGCAAGAATACTTCTGCTTTAGTGTTACTCAGCGCCCTCCTAAGACGAAATAATTCATGTCGTGCTTTATTGGCAGCATGGCGACACTGTGCCGAAGGCTTAAAATTGTTCGCTACGATGACACCTAGATCACGGGCTTCGTCAGTGTCATCTAGCTGTAATACGTAGTATCAACAAAGTTTCAAATACAAACGGGGGTGGGGTGGGGTGATAAAATGCCTAAGAAACAAGCGCCTGAGTTGGAAACGCCACCTGGTGTTGCAACTCCCTCAGTGAGACATGAGGTGCCGTCGCCTTCCGTCCCATCAATTCCTGTCAAACAATCATGTGGCGTGGATGGTAGAGCATGTGGAGTAAATATTCCTCGTCGGAAAAATTCCTACACAGATAACAGTGTGGTTTTCAGAAAATTCACTGAATCCACTGCCGCTCTTCCAACGGAGCGCATGCTTGCTGATCTTGGTTGGCTTAAAGTTTGCGTGACCAGGCTTTTACCACCAGGTTTCCCTGGCGTTACTGTCGGGAAGCTCATCAGGTTGGGGAACGTTCCGGTACGTCAACCAAATCCCCAACCCCGTCTGCTTAGGGTGGCGATCTCCACCCTAGAAGAGCGCACGGCCTTACTGCGATTTGCCTTCAAGCTCAAAGGTAGCGACGTTAGTGTGCAACCAGACCTTCCGTTAGCGAATAAGTAAAATTAAAGGAAGCCATCAGAGACCTAAAAGCCCGGCGTGCAGCTGGCGAGCAAGGTCTCCGATTGGCGGGTTACCAGATGGTCAGCCGGCGGTACTTTTCCACCCTGTCAGAACATATTCTACTTGCGCACGACCCAGGGTTGGTCGTGCCGAAGTCCTCCAAGTAGTAGTTAGTAACATGCGTAGCATGAGGAACAAGGTGTGCAATGTGGGTCTGCTCGTAGACAAATCTCGTCCAGGTATACTTACTTTCACTGAAACGTGGCTGTCTGAGGAAATCACATGGCGAAGTATATCTGCCTGGCTACGCACTGTTTCGCGCTGACCGCTCCGTTGTCATCATCATCATCAACAGCAGTACATCAGCCATTTGAACTGATGCTTCGCTGCCATACAACCATGAGGACCTATGAAATATAGAATAAGAAAAGGGAGAGAAGGGGGACTTACCTGAAAACCTTAATGCCCTAAGCAAACATTCAGGGTCAAGGCGCCTACACCTTGTGTTAACAACATACTGTCACAAACAGCTGGCTATCGTGCAAAGATAAGGCGGCATCGGCAAGACAGCTTCCTTGCGGCTTTCACTGCTCCGCGTCATAATCAGCCATTACCCCGCAGATAACTCAGCACCAAACACACTTTAAACAGACAATCCGATTAGGAGACGGCAGCAGACGCGCCACTGGTGTCGGTTGCGAGCCATGTCCTGTAAAGTCTCGAGCCAAGCACAAGGCGAGTCACGTGGACTCTAGCCCGGAAGGCGAAACGGACCAACGGCACCCAGTTTGGTCGTCAGTGATTTCATTTCCCGCTGTCAAGTCAATTTCTGTCGACCTCGAGACTTGCGCCATCCTACACCTGGCAGACTAAACATGGCCCTCCTAGGTAAGCGGTGACCAGGCATACGTAACACGTGCCCGAGCCAACGCAACTTGTTCAGTGCTATCTGTTGTTCTAGGGAGCTAGCATATTTATCACTACCTAGTACTCGACTGCACACATCATCGTTGCGGACACGCTGGTGCCATCTGACACCAGCAATGCTTCGCAGACAACGATGATCAATGACTTGAAGGCGCCTCAGATCTTCGGACCGAAGGGGCGATGGAGATGAACGGCTCTCACTGTGGCCTTGTATACACGGCTTTTCAGACGGAGGGAAATTCCCTTCTGTCGCCAAAGATGCCGCAGGTTCAAGAAGGCAGCTCTGGATTTTGAAATACGTGAGCCCGGACGTCAATTTCTATGCGCCCATCGTTGTTGATGCAGCTGCCGAAATAAGTGAATTGATCAACCACCTCGAGTACCTCGTTAGCAAGAGTCAAGTGGTCATAAAGTGTCTGGTTGTCCTGCAGCAACACTTTGAACGTGCGAAGTACATACCAAATGATGTGACCGCTCTAGACAGGCTATTCAGGGTTCATGGTGACGTCGCAACATCGTCGAAAAGCAAGACGATGTTGTGCGCATAATCTAGGTCAACTGATCTTTCACCAGGCAGCACTTCAACGCCTACATCGTGAGATTCCGCAAGGGAACACTCCATGATAGAATCCACAACGAAATTGAACAAAAATGGGGAAATTCGACAACCCTGGCGAACGCCACTTGAAGTCGGAAAGTATCCGATAGAACACCGTAGACCATGACGCGGCCTGTAGTGTTCGAGTATAGTGCACGAAGAATGTTCACATATTTCGTGGGAACACCTTTCCGCGCAACTATTTCGAACAGAATCGATGGGTGGCGTTGCTCTAGCGCCTACCGCAGAGTGAGTATATGGTCTATACAACCACGTCCTGGGCGGAAACCGGCCTACTCTTCCCTAATCCGAGATTCCCGTTCTGCAGTGAGGCGACGAACGATAATCGAGGCCAGTAATTTTGTCACAACTGGCGTTAGGCTAATACTCCTGTGGTTCGCACAGTCTATGCGACTGCCCTTCTTGTATATTGCCACTATACTCGATTCGCTCCAATTAGCCGAGACACCCTTCCAGATACGTTCGAATAAGGTGGTCAGTGCTTTGCAGAGGACCTTACCTCCGTCCTTAAATAGTGCAGGAGGGAGGGAACCCGAGCCAGCGGCACGAAAACGATTGAGGGCTGTGATCGCTTTTCGGACTTCGGTCTCCAACGGAGCCTCTGAACTAACCGTTGATGGCTCCTCTTGCATCACCTGAGTAGGAAGAGGTCTGGGAGCAGGGGGCCAGCTGAACAGATCTTGAAAGTGTCCCACCCAACAGACCATACGGCGCTCCTTATTGTGTGTCAGTGCACCCGCGCTGTCTTTGATTGTCTCACTGACGCCCGGTTTCCTGAGACCGGTGTTGCGGACCAGCTGAAAGAGCTTGCGGTAATTGCCTACTGCTCCTGCCTCCTCCATTTCTTGAGCCCTACTAGTTCACCTTGCTTCCTTGTCAGCACGTAGGCTCCGCTTTAGTTCGCGCCTAATAGCCCGTCTTGTCACATTGTGCTCAGAGCCAGCCGGGAGGTGTCTTATGGATTCCAATAGGTTCACCGATCTCTCGGATATCTAGTGACTGGTACGTTGCCGAGTGATAGTGCCACAAGCAGATGCTCCTGCGTCGTGCATGGCGGCCGAGATCCTATTCCACTGAAGCTCAGTGTCATTAGAACAAGACAGCGAAACTTCGGTATGCAGTGCTTCTTGATAGGCTTGCCTGACAGAGGGCTGAGACAATTTCTCCGTTGCCAATCGTAGGGGACATTTGGTGCGCTTCCCGGTAAAGTTCATGGAGAAACGACAGCGTACCGTGGCATCATCAGAGTCGACACAAGTACTCCAGTACGAGCGGCAATCCAGAATAGAACCGCGCCACCTGTAACTTATGGCTATGTGGTCAATTTGGGTCCATCGCTGGCCAGCTACTGGTGGACGCCAAGTGGCACTTCGGCGCCCACTGTGTCTAAAAGCAGTGCTAGTAAGAAACAACTGGTGCTCCGCACACAGTTGCAGCAGACGCTCACCGTTGTCAGTCCGTTCGGAGTTAAGCCCATAATTACCACCCAGCTGAGCTTCTGAAGAGCTCAGACGCCCTACTTGTGCGTTCATATACCCTGCAAGCAGTATATTATCTGAACTAGTAGCACTGCATAGTAGCGCGTTCAGTTCGTGATAGAATGTGTCCTGGACAACATTTGAACTGCAGTCGGTGGGGGCATAAGTGGAAATCACAAACAAACAACGTTTTGTACTACTTCGTGAATCAACCTTAGCTGATGTCGTCAAACGGGCCGCACACAAACGGCTGTTCACTGGAATCCAATCGATTAACGATGGCTCAGCCTTGGAGTTTAGAATGATACCTACACCAGCTTGACCCGTGAGTGCTGTATCGGCGTCTCCGGATGCGTGCAACCAATAACGAGAGAACAAGTCGGGTGCAGTCAATTCAACAACCCGTTAGGGTCATTGATCCTAGTTTCGGACACACAACGCACATCAGCACTCAGTGTGTCCAAGGTGCATGCGAGTGCAGCCTGTTTGCCT